TTGAAATACAAAGTATTTTGTTGTGTTTTTGAATGAAACATTGTGTAGTATAAATTAAAATGAGTGAACTGTGTCCAACTTACATAATACTCTGAATGTGAAATTGAACCAGCCCACTGATATCTGAAGAAGGAGGTGAGTCTTTTATGTCAAATGTGTCTAGTTGAGGGAGGCCCCTTGGGAATTGTATTTTTTTACACTATTTATTTGGCAATCAAAGAGTAATTTGAAGGGCAGACTATGCCAAAGTTCAGGCAAAACAATTACAAAGGCCCAGTCTTAGTCTTAGCCTGTGTTTGTTAGGATGCCTGGGTCGTTGACCCAGAGTTTTGAGTTTATTATATTATTTATCATTTCTAGTCTTTGGTTTCTTTGTTAGAGTTCTGTCTTATGGTTTACGTCTCTGTTCCCTCTGTTGCAGTGCCTGCCTGTAAGTCTGTGTCTTTAAGTTCAGTCTGTGTTATGTTTCCTGTTTTACTTTGAAGGACCATGTCTTATGTTAATGTATCTGGTTTTGCTTGCCCTGTTTTGTTAGGCCTGATTTGCCCCAGCTGCGTTTCCCTCCTGTTACCCATTCCCTGATTGCTCCCTCTGTGTATTTAAGCCCTGTGTTTCTCTGTGTCCGTGTTGTGATCTACCCTTATTCTGCTGTCTGTGTTCTGTCTGTGTAAAGTTTACCTTAGAGTCTCAGTTTTGTTACTTTTTTGGAGTTCAGCATTAAAGCTGTATTTGAGTTCACGTGTTGTTTCCGTGAGTCTGCATTTTGGGTCTTTCATATCACCACTCCTGCCTGCACACAACCTTTTTATAACAGTGTTTTAGTCTGCTTCTAGGAACAATTAGAAGCAACGTATCAGCTGACCTTAAAGTTCTGTTTGGAGTTTGTTTATTTAAAAGATCAGAGAGCTCTGAGGGAGTGAATCTATTCAGAGACTTAAAAACAAACAATTAAACAATCATTATAGCCTGACTGCTACCAAAATAAAACATATTACACTCGAATGGATGAAATAAATGCATGAATTACTTTCTCAAAGTGAGCAGATGACAAAATGCCCATCATTTTTGCAAAGGCCCTCAGGAGGCAGAGGCTGGCTTTTACAACAAAATTTATTTATTTCTCAAATGAGAAACTGTCATCAAAGATCACCCCCAGAGTTTTTACAAAGGGAGTTCTGAACTTTTTCAGAGGAACAAGGTTACACTTAAGACCAAAACAAGGGTAAGAAGGTTCAAATAATACAATCTGTTTTTTGATCGTTTACATATTTAAAAAATGTATTGCCAACCATGATTTTATGGCGTCACAGCACTCTAGCAAAACTTTTAAATAGACTGTAAAACTATTTTTAATGTCATCTGTTGGTAGGGTGTTTTATAGGAGTTTGATGGGCAGCAAACATTAAAATCCCCAAGAGTTAGAATGCAGTCAAATCTTTATATGATTCCAAAGAAAAGGGTGGAAATAAAATCCTTGTTTAACTTGAGGGGATGATAAACAAGCACAAGAGGAGACAGATCCACCATAAATAATTATAGTTCAGAGCTGCCATAAATATCAGCAGTGAGGTGTTGGCATATAAAAGGGTTCAAATAGATGCAAGACCTCTGCTGTAACCAGGTTCCTGCAGGGAGTTTCCTGTGACTGTTGCAGGTGGTGAGAGCTTTCAGTCTGAAAGAATTAAAACCTTTTGAGTTCCACCAGGTCTCAGCACAGAGACATATTTTAATTGGCTTTACTTTGTTTAAAAATGTATATCCAAAGAATTATTTAGGTTATATTTGCCACTATTTAATAGCATAATTACAAACAGTAATTTAAGCAGTAAAAATGTCTTCTACACCATTTTATAGATAAGAATTTAAATTGCAATCATTAAAAATATAAAAATGTAATAAATAGTTTGTACACATGTCATGGGTCTTGTGCAAAATTTAAAAAGAAATCAAAAATAAAACAGTATATTTAATCATAATATTTATCCATGTCTGCACAGTGTTATATTTTTAGGATCGGCATGGTTTGCAACATTAACGTGGTCTCTGTGGTTCCTCTGAATCCAGGTGTGAGGAAATAAGACATGTAAAATAGTGTCTTTGTCTTTAAATGATAAAACATTTTTTATTCTTTTTGAATTATTTCCTAAAAAGATAAA